GCTCAGGGACCCCAAAATCCCCAAAATTATCCCAAAATCCACTCAGAACCCTAAATCACCCCAAAATCAGCTCAGAGATCCGGAAAAAACCCCAAAATTCACTCAGAGACCCCCCAAAAAACCCCAAAATCCACTTGGGGAGACCCAAAATCAGCTCAGGGACCCCAAAATCCCCAAAATCCATCCAAAAAAGTGAAACTCCCCCCAAAGACCCGAAATCCACCCAAAACCCCCAAAATCCACCTAAAAAACCTCAAAATTGAGCCAAAAAATGCCAAAATTGACCAAAACCCCTGAAATTCACCCCAAAACAAACAAATCTCACCCAAAATTTAGCCAAAAAGCCCCAAAACTCACCCAAATCCCCCCAAAATCCCAAAAAAGTCCCAAAAACTCCACCCAAAAACCTCCAAAAAACTCCCAAAACTGATCAAAAATTCACCCAAAAAACCCAAAATTCATCCAACAAAAGCCAAAATTCACAAGAAATTTCAAAAAAAATTGGGATTTTTAATGAGGAAATAATTGGATTTTTGGGGGTTTTTATAGGAAAAAATCCAGAAAAATAAAAAAAAAAATTGGGATTTTTTAAGGAGGAAAAATTGAATTTTTTGGGGTTTTTTTTCCAAGAAATTTCAAAAAAAATTGGGATTTTTAATGAGGAAATAATTGGATTTTTGGGGGTTTTTATAGGAAAAAATCCAGAAAAATAAAAAAAAAAATTGGGATTTTTTAAGGAGGAAAAATTGAATTTTTTGGGGTTTTTTTCCAAAGAAAAATCAACAAAAATTAGGATTTTTAATGAGGAAATAATTGGATTTTCTGGGTTTTTTTGACAGGAAAATTCCCAGAAAAATTCCCCAAAATTTGGTATTTTTAAGAGGGAAAAATTGGATTTTTTGGGTTTTTTTTTCAAAGAAATTTCAAAAAAAATTGGGGTTTTTAATGGGGAAAAATTGGATTTTTGGGGTTTTTTGATAGGAAAATTGCCAGGAAAATTCCACAAAAAATGCCACAAAAATTCAGGAAAAATTCAAAAAAATTTGGGATTTTTAAGGAGGAAAAATTGGATTTTTTGGGTTTTTTTAATAGGAAAAGTCCCAGAAAAATTCCCAAAAATTGGGATTTTTAATGGGGAAAAATTGGAATTTTGGGGGTTTTTTTTCAAAGAAATTTCAAAAAAAATTGGGGTTTTTAATGGGGAAATAATTGGATTTTCTGGGTTTTTTTAATAGGAAAAGTCCCAGAAAAATTCCCCAAAATTTGGGATTTTTAAGGAGGAAGAATTGAATTTTTTGGGGTTTTTTTCCAAAGAAAATTTAAAAAAAGGGATTTTTAATGGGGAAATAATTGGAATTTTTGGGGTTTTTTTAATAGGAAAAGTCCCAGAAAAATTCCCAAAAATTGGGATTTTTAATGGGGAAAAATTGGAATTTTGGGGGTTTTTTTTCAAAGAAATTTCAAAAAAAATTGGGATTTTTAATGAGGAAATAATTGGATTTTAAATTCACCCAGAAAAATCAAAATCCAGAAAAAATTCCCCAAAATCCACCCAAAAACCCGCCAAAAATACCTCAAAATTCACCCAGAAAAACCAAAATCCACAAAAGTTTCCCCAAAATCCACCCAAAAGACCCCAAAATTCACCCAAAAATACTCAAAATCCATAAAAAATTCCCCAAAATCCACCCAAAAAAACCCGAAAATTCACCCAGAAGAACCAAAATCCACAAAAATTTCCCCAAATTTCACCCAAAAACCCTAAAATTCACCCCAAAGATCCCAAAATTCACATAGAAAAACCAAAATCCACAAAAAATTCCCCAAATTTCACCCAAAAAAACCTCAAAATCCATAAAAAATTCCCCAAAATTCACTCAAAAAACCCCAAAATCCACCCAAAAACCCGCCAAAAATACCTCAAAATTCACCCCAAAAACCCAAAATTCCCCAAAAATCCACTCAAAAACCTGCAAAAAAAAACCCCAAAATTGACCCAAAACCCTCCAAAATTCACTAAAAACTCCAAAATTCCAAAAAATCCCCCCAAAATGGCCCGAAATCCCCGAATGGCCGTCGCTCACCGATGCCGGGGTCGCGCTCGCGGTAATTCTCGCCGAAGGACACGAGGCCGATGGCCAAGGTCTGCAGGAACGGCCGCAGCGACGGCACGAACTGCGGGGACACGCAACGGTCAAGGCAAGAGCAACCCAGCGAGGGTCAACAAGGTCTACCTTGACCAACCAAGGGTCAACGAGGTCCACGTTGACCAACCCATGGTCAACTTTGACCAACCCATGGTCAACGAGGTCAACGTTGACCAACCCATGGTCAACGAGGTCAACGCTGACCAACCAAGGGTCAACGAAGACCAATCAAAGGTCAATGAGGTCAACATTGACCAACCAAGGGTCAACATTGACCAACCAAGGGTCAACGAGGTCAACGTTGACCAACCAAGGGTCAACATTGACCAACCAATGGTCAACGAGGTCAACATTGACCAACCAAGGATCAACGAAGACCAACCAAGGATCAACGAGGTCAAGATTGACCAACCAATGGTCAACAAAGCCAAGACCAACTCAATGGTCAAGCCATGGTCAACCCAGAAAACAGCAACCAACCAATGGTCAACAATGGCCAACAAAGCCAAGAATAACCAACCAATAGTCAACGGAGTCAAGAACAACCCAATGGTCAACAAAGACCAACTCAATGGTCAAGCCAAGAGCAAGCAATGGTCAACCACGCCAAGATCAACCAACCGATGGTCAACAAAGCCAAGACCAACCTACCAATGGTCAACAAAGATCAACCAAGGCAAGATTGCCCACCAATGGTCAATGGAGTCAACACCGACCAATAGTCAACAAAGATCAACCAACCAATGGTCAACCAAGCCAAGAACAACCAACCAATAGTCATCAAAGATCAACCAAGCCAAGACCAACCAACCAATGATCAACCAAACCAAGACCAACCAACCACTGTCAATGAAACCAAGACCAATCAACCCAACGGTCAATGAAGATCAATCAAGACAAGACCACCCAACCAATAGTCAACCAAACCAAGACCAACCAACCAATGGTCAGTGGAGGCAAGATCAATCAACCCAATGGTCAATGAAGATCAACCAAGCCAAGAACAACCAACCAATGGTCAACAAAGACCAACCAAGGGAAGATTGACCAACCAATGGTCAATGGAGTCAAGAACAACCCAATCGTCAACAAAGACCAACTCAATGGTCAAGCCAAGACCAAGCAATGGTCAACCAAGCCAAGATCAACCAACCAATGGTCAACAAAGCCAAGACCAACCAACCAATGGTCAACCCAACCAAGACCAACCAACCAATGGTCAACAAAGATCAACCAAGCCAAGACCAATGAACCAATGGTCAACCAAACCAAGGCCAACCAACCAATGGTCAACGAAACCAAGACCAACCAATCCAACCACCCCAAAACTTCCAGAACATCCCAGAAAATCCCAAAATTCCCCAAATCCTCACCTGGAAGCCCAAGCACCTCCCGTAGAAGCAGCCGTTGTGCATGGTGCTGTACTCCCGCAGCACCACCTCGCTGATGCCTTCCTCCTCCTCCTCCTCCTCCTCCTCCTCCTCCTCCTCCTCCTCCTCCTCCTCCTCCTGGTCCTTCCTGACCTTCTCTCCATCGGGGAAGAGACACCCGGGCTTGGAGATCTCCGCCATCTTGGCCACCAACACCGGCGCTGAGCGCCCGCCGTCAAGGCAAGGGCAACCAAGGCAAGATTGACCAACCAATGGTCAAGATCAACCCAATGGTCAACAAAGACCAACCCAATGGTCAACAAAGACCAACCCAATGGTCAAGACCAGCCCAATGGTCAACAAAGCCAAGAACAACCAACCAATGATCAACAAAAAGCAACCAAGGCAAGATCGACCAACTAATGGTCAACAGAGTCAAGAACAACCCAATGGTCAACAAAGACCAACTCAATGGTCAAGCCAAGACCAAGCAATGGTCAACCACGTCAAGATCAACCAACCAATGGTCAACAAAGCCAAGACCAGCCAACCAATGGTCAACAAAGATCAACCAAGCCAAGACCAACCAACCAATGGTCAACAAAGCCAAGACCAGCCAACCAATGGTCAACAAAGATCAACCAAGCCAAGACCAACCAACCAATGGTCAACAAAGCCAAGACCAGCCAACCAATGGTCAACAAAGATCAACCAAGCCAAGACCAACCAACCAATGGTCAACCCAACCAAGACCAACCAACCAATGGCAACCAAACCAAGACCAACAAACCAACGGTCAACGGAACCAAGACCAACCAATCCAACCACCCCAAAACTTCCAGAACATCCCAGAAAATCCCAAATCCTCACCTGGAAGCCCAAGCACCTCCCGTAGAAGCAGCCGTTGTGCATGGTGCTGTACTCCCGCAGCACCACCTCGCTGATGCCTTCCTCCTCCTCCTCCTCCTCCTCCTCCTCCTCCTCCTCCTGGTCCTTCCTGACCTTCTCTCCATCGGGGAAGAGACACCCGGGCTTGGAGATCTCCGCCATCTTGGCCGCCAACACCAGCAAAGCCCTGAGCTGCCCCAAGGCCGCCGCCACCGCCTCGATCTCGGCGGCGTTGGCGCCGGCGCGGAAGAAGAGACTTTTGCGATGCGCCGCCACGTAACGGCTGCGCTCCACGGCGCGGTCCAGGCAAACTTGGACCACCTCGATGAGGCTCCGGTAGCCGTTGCCGGGCGTGGCCTCGTCCAGGTCGTAATTCGGGGCCACCTGGGCCAGGTGGGCCAGGGCGGGGCCAAGATGGCGGCCGTGGTGGAGGAGGGCGGAGAAAGCGTCGGCGAAACGGCGCGAGGTGCCGGCGGTGGCGGCGGCGGCGCCGCCGGGAGGGGAGAAGAAGGCGAGGTTGTCGCGGGCCAGGAGTTGGAGGGATTGGAGGAGGTCCATGGTGGGAGGGACTGGTTTGGACTGGTTTGGACTGGTTTGGACTGGTTTGGAGTGGTTTGGAGTGGTTTGGAGTGGTTTGGGGGGTACTGGTTTGGACTGGGAGAGAGTTAAAAGTTACTGGTTTGTCCTGGTTTATACTGGCAGGGAATTTTGGGGGCTTTTTGGGGCTCTAAAAGGGTTAAAAATGGGGAAAAACGGTGTTAAAGGTGAGTTTTGATACTGGTCCATACCGGTCCGTACTGGTCCATACTGGTCCATACTGGTCCATACTGGTCCATACTGGTCCATACTGGTCCATACTGGTCCATACTGGTCCATACTGGTCCATACTGGTCCATACTGGTCCGTACTGGTCCGTACTGGTCCGTACTGGTCCATACCGGTCCGTACTGGTCCATACTGGTCCATACC